ACTGCATAAAGGTAAAATACAAGGTCTATTTCGGGGATAAAATAGGTAAAAGAAAATACAATAATAAAATACGTATGTCCTAAATGCAAAGAATAAATGTTCAGATAAATACATTGCCTTCAAATGATCATCTAATCTGTTCAGTATTAACAGATTCTTAGCTGAATGTACAGAATAACAGAATTGGAAGGGTCATTGGAGGTCTTCTAGTCCAACACCCTGCTCAACCAGGAGACCTTGTTTAGGTAGTCCTTGTTTAGTGACTACTTCATTTAGAGACCATTCCCAATGATAACAGTGATGAAAAAGTAATTTTGCTCCTACTCTTTACATTTATGACCTTTGTAAGTCTATAAAACCAAGGAAAACTGAAAAATTGAGATCATAAACACAGCTGCTGTTTCACTTAGCAACCACTTCACTTAATGACCAAGCTGTCTGTCCCAATTGTGAATGCTAAACAAGGACTCCTTGTATTTATGTACTCCTTGACTTACAACCACAATTGACCCAACATTTCTGTTGCTAAGTGAGACAGTTGTTCAGTGAATGTTGCCCCATTTTATGACCTTTCATGCCATAGTTAAGTGAATCACTGGAGTTAAGTTAGTAACATAGTTGCTAAGTGAATCTGGCTTCCCCATTGACTTGTCTTGTCTGGAGTTTGCAAAAGGCGGTCACATGACCCCGGGACACTGCAAGCGTCATAAATATGAGTCAGTTGCCAAGCATCTGAATTTTGATGCTTGTGACTATGGGGTTGCTGTAACGGTCGTAAGTATGAAAAACAGTCACAAATCACTTTTTTCCCCCCAGTGCCGCTGTAATATTGAATGGTCACTAAATGAACTGTTGTAAGTCGAGGATTACCTGTACGATAGAGCCCAAGAGGAAACAGGACAACATAGGACAATAAAAACAAGGGTTTTTATTTCAAGTAGGGATTTTAAATATCTAAGTCTAAAAGGAGGCATACAGCTGACAATCAAATAAAACATGAATCTTCATGACTGTTGGCTACTCTTTGGGGTAGTTGCTGAAAGGAACAAAGCAAAAGAAAACATTCTTCATCCTGTTTGCTTCTCAAAAAACCTTGGCTTGAGTCCCTTGGGATCTTTATATAATAGGGAACTCCCTAGCTTAGGGGCAGTCTACCATGGAATACTCGCAGCTAAAGAATAGCCCAACCTGAAATAGCAGGTCTAAAGATAAATAAAGAAAAAACTAAAATGCTCGTCAAGAATATGACTAAAATACAGAAAAATGAATTGGTTGACAGAATAGATATTCAAATTACAAATAAAATATTTAGGGATACAACTAACTGCTAGATGCGTTACACTCAAGAGAGACAATTATAATAAACTAATTGAACGGATGAAAACTGATTTAGATACTTGGACCAACCTACAGCTCTCCTTTATGGGCAGAATAGCTGTAATCAAAATGAATTTTGAAAATTTTATTTTTGTTCCAATGTATACCCATAAAATTGGATAATTTTTTTCAAAACTTTAACAAAACTATACTCAATTTTATTTGGCAAAGAAAAAAAGCAAGGATTAAATTAAAATTACTGCAGGATTCGAAGGAAAGTGGGGGGGGGGCAGCCTCCCTGACCTGGAAAAATACTATCAGGCCATAGTACTATTATTGGTGCGGGATTACATACTTTTGAAGAACAGGAGATTATTATGTCTGGAAGGTCATGATTTACAAATAGGATGGCATGTTATGCTATGGGACCAGAAATATAAGACATACAAATATTTTCGAAGGAATTATATCAGATGAGCTTTAATTGATGTATGGGTTAAAACCTGGCAACCAAACTATACTCAAGTCCCCGGCTGGATCTCATCGTTAGAAATGCATGTACATCCAAAGTTTATCCAACTAGGGAAGATTATAACATATAAAAACGTACTAAACGAGAAAGGAGAATTGAAACCCAGGAAAATTCTTCAAGATGAAGGGATAGAACTAGAATGGTGGGCATACCTTCAACTACAGGCGAGACATTGGAAAGATAAAAAAGAGTTAGGCATAAAAGTAGAACTGATAGGGCTGGATAAAATATTACTAGGTACTGAGGATAAAATGATTAAAAAGCTATATCATTATTTGTTAGATCAGGCAATATATGAAGAATAGGTAAAAGAAACCATGTTAACGTGGAGCAGGGATTTTGATCTCAACTTTGATCTGCATATCTGGCAAGAACTATGTGTACGAAATAGGAAGCTTACTTTGGCCACCTCCTACAAAGAAAACTTCTACAAAATGTTCTACAGATGGCATCTCCCACCCACAAGATTAGCTAAAATAGGTCCAAATATTTCTTCTACCTGCTGGAAATGTAAATTGGCAAGAGGGACATATTACCACATGTGGTGGGAGTGCTCAAAAGCCCATGACTTTTGGAACAAGGTTAAAAAATGGCTGGAACAAATACTAATGATAGAGGTAGAGCTAAAACCAGAACGCTTCCTACTAGGCATAACTACGCAGAAATATGACAAAGGGATACTTTACTTGATGCTACATATTCTCACGGATGCTAGATTGGCGTACGCACAAAACTGGAGGAATAAAGAAATTCCAACAGAAGAAGAGATTTTATATAAAATCCTATCGTGTGCTGATATGGATAGGCTCACAATGGAAATGAAGGACAAGACAGAGTCAGATTACTTTGAAATCTGGGACAAATTCTATTGTTGGTGTGAATCAAGGAGAACTGTTCAGGTTTTAAGTTAGTGTTAAGCTAGAGATATATAATACTGTATGTTAGTATATAGAGAAACAAATTAGAGACTGTATTGTATAGAAAAATATATATAGAGAGAGATTAAGAATTATATGTATGATGAGGAACAAATTGTTAGGAATATATACACTGGAATGTTTCGTTATGTCCATCTTTGTTTCAACTGTTTTATAAATAAAAAAGTTTTTTTAAAAAAAGACTAGCCCAACCTAATCCATGAGGTGATGTGTAAATTTCTGAAGATTAATAACAGATTTCTCTGTACTCTTTTGCTGCCATAACTTCCTGGGTTTATGTTTTAAAAAAACAAACAAAAAAGAGGATCACATTATGGCAGGGACCATTTTTTCAAGCCTGGTCTCTGTTAGTTGGGCATATGAAGAATGGTTGCAGGATTTAGATATGGCTAGTCTAGGGTTGACACAATAGCAGTATTCCAGCACTTGCCACAGAGAAGAGAGGATCAACCTATTTTCCAAAGCACCAGAAGGCAAGACAAGAAACTATGGATGGAAACTAATCAAGGAGAGAAGCAACCTAGAACTAAGGAGAAACTTCCTGACAGAACAATTAACCAGTGGAACAACCTGCCTCCAGAAGCGGTGAATGCTCCAACAGCTACAAGTTTTTCTCCTCTATTCTGCTGTCTCCAGGCACTGCCACGTCCACTATCCAGACTTTTTTGTCTTTCTTGTTAAGTCTGGGGTGTTATGTTGCAGGTGCTTGTCTGTTTGAATTCTGAAGTCCCAGAGCAGTTTAATTTTATCATTTTCTATGACTTTCTCTATTTTATGATCCCACCAGTTTTATTATTATTATTATTATTATTATTATTATTGTTGTTGTTGTTGTTGTTGTTGTTGTTGTTGTGGGTGATTCATCACTGGAGGCTTTTAAGTAGAGATTAGACAGCCACT